TCCAGTCTGCTGCTGCCCTTGCTTCCTGCTGCTGCTGTTGCTGCTGCTGCTGCTGCTGCTGCTGCTGCTGTTTGCTGCAGCAGGAGGGCGTCAACAACGAGGATTCGGCTCTGCTGTTTGAGCTGCTGCTGCACTGCAGCAGCAGCAGCAGCAAACCTCTCTAGGAGTCTCTCCTGCTGCCTCTCTAGCTCCTTAGCTCCTTCCCAAAGGTCCTCCTCATCGTATTGCTGCTGCTGCTGCTGCTGCTGCTGTTGCTGCTTCTGCTGCTGCTGCTGTTTTGCTGCTGCTGCTGCTGCACACTCCTCACGGCGCTGCTGCAGCTGCTCTGTCACTGCAGCAAGAGGCCCCTCCTGAGCAGCAAGTAGCTGCTGCTGCTGCTGGCGTCTCCACGCATCTCCATCTTGTAGGGACAGCAGCAACGGCCGTTGCTGCTGCTGCTGCTGCTGCTGCTGCCGCTGCTGCTGCTGCTGCTGCTGCTGCTGCAGCAGACAGTGCGGCGGCAGCACACGCAGCACCACCACATCTATCAGGGGGACTGTCCCCCCGTGGGGGGTGAGGGCCCTGAGGGGCAGCGGGAGAAAGCGTTTGAGCTGCAGCAGGCCGAGGCGTTGCTGCAGCAAAGGAGACAAACTGCAGCAGCAGCTGCTGCTGCTCAGCAGCAAATAACCCTCATCAGGAGACTCAAGGGGACAGTAACCTTCTCTGCTGCTGCCGCCTAGCTGACAGCCCTGCAGCAGCAAACGACGGAGACGCATGGGGGGGGGACCCCAGCTCTTTAGCTGCAACCTGTCTCCCGCTGCTGCTGCTGCTGCTGCTGCTGCTGCTGCTGCTGCTGCTGCTTGGTGTGCATGCAGCAAGCGACTCAAAGCAGCAGCAATAAACCAGTCCTGTGTCTTGCCACTGATCCAGTAGAAGCCGTCTGTCAGCAGCACCTCAGAAACAAGTTGCTGCTGCTGCTGCTGCAGCAGCAGCTGTTGCTGCTGCTGCTGCTGCTGCTGCTGCTGCTGCTGCTGCAGACAGCGAAAGCCCAAGACACCCAAGACAAGGGGAGAAGCAGCAGCAGTGTCTCCTTCACAC